TGTAGAAATAGTTTTGACCAGTAGTTAATCTAAATTAACATAGTCCTTCTAGAAATCCCAAATGATTGATCACCTATAGTTATTCAGTGTCGAATGAAGACCCTCTGAAAAAGCATATCCAATTATAAAAGAATGTTACAGCTTTACAAATTACTATGTAAAATTTGACCCACCAGCCAATTCTCAGAAGGAAGGTTGGGCAATCTACTTATAGAGTGATTTGTTGTTGTTAGGTGTTGTTGAGTCAGACCTGACTTATAGCAACTCCTCCTTGGGTTTCCAAGGCAGTATCATGATGGAAGTAGATTGCCCCATCTTCCTTCTGAGGAGGGGCTGGCAGGTTTGAACCGCCAGCCTTCTGATTAGCAGTCAAATGCCTTAGGCACTACACCACCAGAGCCTTGGAAACCCAAAGGGGTCACTATGAGTCGGGTCCAACTCGATAGCACATAACAACAACATACAAAACTTGAGAACATGCTTTCCAGATGGCATTTACGATTACTGTTTTTACCTTATTTTTAGTTGCTGAATCAGTTGTTTCTTCACATGAAGCAGAGTCAACATCCATGAGCTTTTGTGGCCCTAGGTCTTCAACTAGACTTTCTTTTATGGCAGGTCTTCCTGGCAACTGGCTTTCTTGTAATTTCTCTGGACTTGTGAGAATACCTGAATCATTTTCTGTCAGAAATATATTAGCTGTGCTATCTACTTCTCCATGTATGCTAGGAGTCTTCGTAAGGCTCTTCAAGCCTGTCAGATTTTCTGTCCATTCAAATGAACGCTTTGGTGCTCTCACCAGGGTCTTGACAGCTGTCAGCTTTTCTGCTGGAGCTTTTTTTCTGGCAGGATTTCTCAAATGTTTTTTGATGCCCCTAAAAGGCTCTGGCTCCTCTTTGGGAGCTGTTCTGAGTTCTGTATTAACTGCCTGGTGTTCTAGCTGCACAGTGTGAGGTGAAGTTTTTAAGAGATTCAACGTCAAAGTCTCCATTGGTTCCAGTTTTATTTTTGATGATGTCAGCGGTGACTTGCCTGTTGACCTTACTACGAGTTCTGGTTTCTGTTTTGCTGGTTCACCTGGTTTCTTTGGTGCTGATGTGTGAGCTTTCATACCAGCTAGGTCTTCCATGAGCTCTGGGCTTGCATTAGGGTCTTTGCACAGTCTTGGGGACATTCTTGGCATTTCTCCTGATCTTGGTGTGCATTGTGGAGTTTTCTGAATCTTTTTATTGACATTACCATTTATTGACATCTGTAGTAATTCTGGTGTTTGCAAATCATCTTTACTGCCAGCCAGATTTTCCACAACCTCTGAATTTGCACTAGGGTCTCTCAGCAGTCTCAAAAACATTCTTGGAGTTTCTCCTGGTTTTGGAGTTTTGTGAATCTCTTTGTGAATTTCTTCGTCACTTATTGACAACTCTGGTGATTCCGATGTTGCCATATGATCTTTCATTTCAGACAGGTCTTCCACATGCTCTGGGCTTACATTAGGATCTCTCAGCAATCTTGGAGATATTCTTAGAGTTTCTCCTGACTTTGGTGTGTGTTTTGGAGTTTTCTGAATCTTTCCGTGGACATTCCTACTTACTGACTTCTGTGGTGATTCCAATGTTTGTATATGATCTTTCATGCCAGACAAGTTTTCCCTAAGCTCTGAACTTGCACTTGGGTCTCTCAACAGTGTCAGGTATGTGTTTGGTGCTTCTCCAACTTTGCATGTGTGTTCTGGAGTCTTCTGAATCTCTCTGTGGACTGCTTCATCACTTATTGACTGTCCTTGTGATTTTGGTGTTTGCATGTGATTGTTCATTCCAGACAGTTCTTCCATGACCTCTGACCTTACTTTAGGGTCTCTCAGCAGTCTTGGGTACACTTTTGGTGTTGCTCTAAATTTGAGTGTGTGTTTTGGAGTTTCCTGAATCTCTTTGTGGACGGTTTCATGACTTACTGACTCCCCTGATGATTCCACTGTTTGAGTATGAGTTTTCGTTCCAGACACATCTTCCATGACCTCTGAGCTTACGTTAGAGTCTCTTAGCAGTCTCAGGGATGTTCTTGAAGTTTCTCCTGACTTTGGTGTACGTTTTGGAGTTTTCTGGACTTTTCTATGGACTTCTTCATCACTTACTATCTCCCCTGGTGATTCTGGTGTTTGCTTACAAACTTTTATTCCAGCCAGGTCTTCCACAAGCTCTGGGCTTGCATTAGGGTTCCTCAGCAGTCTCAGGGCCATTCCTGGAGTTTCTTCTGAGTTTGGTGTGTATTTTGTAGTTTTCTGAACCTCTCTGTGGACTTCATCACTTATTAACACCCCTGGAGATTTGGGTGTTTGCATATGATCACTCATTCCGGACAGATCTTCCATGACCTTGAGACTTGCACCTGGGTTTCTTAGCAGTCTCAAGGATATTCTTGGAGATTCTCGTGACTTTGGTGTGTATTTTGGAGTTTTCCAAACCTCTTTGTGGACTTTCTCATCACCTATTGATGCCCCTGGTGATTTGGGTATTTGCATATGATCTTTTATTTCAGACAGGTCTTCCACAAGCTCTGGGTTTACAGTAGGGTCTCTCAGCTGTCTCAGAGACATTCTTGGAGTTTCTTCTAACTCTGACAGGCACTTTGGAGTCTTCTGGATCTTTCTGTGGACTTCTTCACCGCTTATTGGCTCCCCTGGTGATTCTGGTGTTCGAATATAAGCTTTCATTACAGCCAGGTCTTCCACAAGCTCTGGGCTTGCATTGGAGTCTCTCAGCAGTCTCAGGGACATTCTTGGAGTTTCTCCTGACTGTGGTGTACGTTTTGGAGTTTTACAAATCTCTCTGTGGACTTCTTCATCACTTGTTAATTCCCCTGGTGCTTTTGGTGTTAGTGCATGATCTTTCATTTCAAACAAATGTTTCACAAGCTCTGGGCTTGCGCTAGGGTCTCTGAGCAGTCTCAGGGACATTCTTGGAGTTTCTTCTAACTTTGATTTGCATTTTGGAGTTTTCCTGATCTTTCTGTGGATTTCTTCACCACTTATTGACTCCCCTGGTGATTTTGGTGTTTGCTTATAAGCTTTTATTCCAGCCAGGTCTTCTACAAGCTCTGGGCTTGCATTAGAGTTTCTCAGCAGTCTCAGGGACATTCTTGGAGTTTCTTCTGACTTTGATGTGTATTTTGGAGTTTTCCAAACCTCTCTGTGGACTTCTTCACCACTTATTGACTCCCCTGGAGACTTGGGTGTTTGCATAACATCATTCATTCTGGACGGATCTTCCATGACCTCTAGGCTTGTACTTGGGTTTCTCAGCAGTCTCAAGGACATTCTTGGAGTTTTTTGTGACTTTGGTGTGTATTTTGGAGTTTTCCGAACCTCTTTGTGGACTTCTTCATCACTTATTGACGCCCTTGGTGATTTGGGTGTTTGCATATGATCTTTTATTTCAGACAGGTCTTCCATAAGCTCTGGATTTACAGTAGGGTCTCTCAGCTGTCTCAGAGACATTCCTGGAGTTTCTTCTAACTTCGACAGGCATTTTGGAGTTTTCTGGGCCTTTCTATGAAGTTCTTCACCAGTTATTGACTCCACTCGTGGTTCTGGTGTTTGCATACTAGCTTTCATTATGGCCAGGTCTGCCACAAGCTCTGGGCTTATGCTAGAGTCTCTCAGCAGTCTCAGGGACATTCTTGGAATTTCTCCTGACTGTGGTGTATGTTTTGGAGTTTTACAAATCTCTCTGTGGACTTCTTCATCACTTATTAATTCCCCTGGTGATTTTGGTGTTAGCACATGATCTTTCATTTCAAACAAATGTTCCACAAGTTCTGGGCTTGCACTGGAGTCTCTCAGCAGTCTCAGAGACATTCTTGGAGTTTCCCCTGACTGTGGTGTATATTTTGGAGATTTACGAATCTTTCTGTGGACTTCTTTATCACTTATTAACTCCTCTGGTGCTTCCAGTGTTAGCATATGATCTTTCATTTCAAACAAATGTTCCATGAGCTCTGGGCTTGCACTGGAGTCTCTTAGCAGTCTCAGGGACATTCTTGGAGTTTCTCCTGACTGTGGTGTACGTTTTGGAGTTTTACAAATCTCTCTGTGGACTTCTTCATCACTTATTAATTCCCCTGGTGCTTTTGGTGTTGGTGTATGATCTTTCATTTCATACAAATGTTCCACAAGCTCTGGGCTTGCACTAGAGTCTCTCAGCAGTCTCAGGGACATTCTTGGAGTTTCTTTGAACTTTGATTTGCATTTTGGAGTTTTCTGGATCTTTCTATGGACTTCTTCACCACTTATTGACTCCCCTGGTGATTTTGGTATGTCCACATGTGCTTTCATTCCAGCCTGGTCTTCCACAAGCTCTGGGCTTACATTAGGGTTTCTCAGTGGTCTCAAGGAAGCTCTTGAATTTTCACCTGACTCTGGTGTGCATTTTGGAGTTTTATGACTCTTTCTCTGGATATCATCACTTATTGATTTCCATTGTGATTCTGGTGTGGACATTTGATCTTTCATGCTGGCCAGGTCTTTCACAAACTCTGGACTTGCACTTAGGTTTCTCTGCAGTCTTGGGGACATTCTAGGAGTTTCTCCTGACTTTGGTGTGTGTTTAAGAGTTTTCTGAATCTCTCCGTGCACTTCTTCACCACTTACTGATTTCCGTGGTAAGTCTGGCGTTGGTGTTTGATCTTTCATGCCACCCAGGTCTTCCACTAGCTCTGGGCTTACATTAGATGCTTTTAGCCATGTCTTCAAGGCTGACAGAGTTTCTCCTGGTTCTGTTTTCTGTTTTGACATTTTCTGTGAGATGTTTTCAACCTCTGCTGTTTGTTTTGTTGGAAGTTGTATTTCATCAACAGCATCTGTAGTAGAGAAATAATATTTGTTGTAAAGAAACAATAGTACTCATAAGTTATATTCAAAAACATCGTAATGGTAGGAAAAATTTTTGAAAAAAGTAAACCAACCCCAAGTTTCAAGTATTTCTCCTAATTTAGCTTCTTCAAACATCTCTGAACTTTTAATGCTGTCAGGACACACATTGCTTCTCTGTGGCTTTTCCTTCCCTGGAGTTTTGAACATTTCTGTCAGTCCTATTATAGGAAAATATGGGAAATGCAGTTAGCATATTACTTATACATGCAAACAAATATCTGAGCCCACATATACAACAACCAAATGATGAGAAATGAAAAAAAATCACTCCTAGACTTCCTGGTACATACAACATGATAGAAGGGGGAGATGCCATTAGTATTCTACAGGTAGTCCCTGGTTTACAAACCATATCCATCCTCCCTAAGAGTGTCCTTAAGTCAAATTTGTAAGTAAGTTGGAACAAGTGCATAAAGATTTTATTCAGCTTTACTTTAGAAAAGGCTCAAAACCTTTTCAATAATTCAAAAGCTGCATGTGTAGCAAGTGAAGGTAATTTTGGTGAAGAATTTGTTGTGCATACGGGTTGGTTCAATTGTTTCAAAGCGAAGGCAATTTTATGACATTGAAGGAGAAGTTGTGTGTAAATCAAACATTTATAACCCAGGGACTTACCTTCCTGTGCTCATTTTTTTTAGAAAGAACAAGGAGAAAATATAATCACATGTCTTTTCTTTTTGCATTCCCTTTGGAACAGAAATAAAATGAAGGCAGCTGGGGTCTGTAGTCTTCCAAACTAGTACCAAAACTCAGGTACCAGTAGGACAGCAACAGCTGGTCATCAGTGCTTTCCTTGCATGACCTGACTTCTAGTGCCAAAAATGCAGTGACCTCATGTTAGCTTCTAAAAGTAGTGGGTCCCACACCTCTGGACTTTATGCACAAATAAATGCCCCCACATTTTAGAAAATGACAAGCGGCTATTCCCTTAATCAAGGAACCATGGGTTATTAATATCTCTCTATATAATAACTTTCCAAAAGCATTGGCATAGTCAGAAAAAAGCACAATACAGAACTTTAAAGATGTCATTGTCTCAAAAACTTTTAAGACCACATGCTCTCCTTATTTCAATTCTGGCACTGATGGGTGACAAGATTTTCTCCATTTGGTATGTGTCTGCAGAATTTGTCTGAGAAACCTGTTCTGAAAGCTTTCATTGAAACCAGAACACTGACTTAAAAATCTCTTCCCTCTGGCTAGCTTTCAGGCCTTCCTTAAAATTCTCAGAATTCTGTCTTTAGCAGATACTGATTTATACAGTGAAAGTGACCCACACCAATGGCTAAAAATTTTGCACTCTCTTAGTGTCTTCAAAAAAGAAATGCCTGGGATAATTTCTGTCATGTATGCCAAGTAGCTAAAAGTCTATTTGTTTTATCTTCAAAAACTTTTTTACTGTCTTTAATGCTTTGAAACATATAATAGAACTATGATGCATGCATATCATGTATAAAAATGAACATATATACCTATATAGACATAAGCATATTGGGTGGCACATGCTCAAAATGTTTTTACTGGTGGGGCATGCAATCAAAAATTCTGGCTCTCGATCTTTACATTTCCTTATAGTTATATTTATTAATCCAAATGTGATTCTAATTGGAGATACCATATATAGGTGATACTAAAGAGTATGACTCTTCCAGCTTAAAATCTTCCAGGATAAAAAAGCAAGATTCCACCTCACTGCTTTAAATCTCACCTCCCTCCCAAAGTTTCCACAGTAAATCTATATAACTGGTAAATCCACATAACATGCTATGGAAAACCTGTGTTTTGACTGCAGTTCAAATATGGTATAGCCATCACAGACAAGTCACATCAGCTTTTTGCTGAAAGTGGAATATAAGTGGCAAGGTGGGCTCAACTGCTAATGATTTAAGGAAGCCTTTTCCCAAGGTTTTGTCTCAAGAAACAGTTAAGGTATCTAGGAGGAAAGCAAACCTTGAAGCCAAACTGCTCAAACAACACTGCTGCCACTTGAGGACGACATCCAAGCATTAATCGGGGGGTGGGGGTCGGGAGCAGTTACAGCTGCTGTGCTATGAAAAGTCTGCTTCCTTCACCATGAAGCAGCTTCCTGTTTTCTAGACACAACACTGCTCGCTGAGGTACAGACTTGCATTGGACCTTTTTGTCCACACTTCATGTGGTACACATGACCCCAAGAATGTTGGTTTGAAGTACTCCAAACCAAGTTCCTCTTCCTTGAATAAAATTATGACCTCAAGAAATAGAAAACATGATTTTACCACCCCACTCACAGCAGATAATCAATACAGGCAGACCTCGGAGACAGTTGCAGTTTCAGTTCCAAGGTCACCACAATAAAGTGAGTATCAACAATAAAGTGAGTATCAACAATAAAGTGAGTCACACAAATGTTGTGGTTTGCCAGTGCTTATAAAAGTTATGTTTACCCTATAGTATAGCCTATTAAGTATGTCATAGCATTATGAAAAAGTTTGATATAATGTGAGAAATATCAAAATGAGACAAGACATGAAGTGAGCACCTGCTGTTAGAAAAATGGCGCCGATAGGCTTGTTCGATGCAGAGTTGCCACAGACCTTTGATCTGTAAAAAATGTGATATCTGCAAAGCACAATAAAATAAGGTATACCTGTATAGCACCTATAGTGCTATAGGAACAAAAAGGCTTATATAATTTATGAGAGCTATGGCTATGTTTTTACCTGAAAAATCTTCAGTATAGTTACTTTTCTTATTCAAAATAAAGTTGTTTAACATTCTGTAGGGCCGAGCAGGAATGCTGACTTTGTCAACATGAGCTCTCCCTATTATTATTGTGCAGGGAGAGTTTGCATGGCCTGTACTAAAGGGGTTTTCAGTGTGGTCCAGAGGCTTCTGTAGAAAAAAATGAGAAAATTAACAATACTTCAAAACATAAATCTACCCTAAAATCATGTTAAATAATAATATAATTACATGTGAGAGCAACTGAAAGTGGAGCCTCATACCTGTGGAGTACGATGCCTTCTTTGTTTTTTCATTTTGTGTCTTGGAGCGTCTTGCTTTACCTGTTTAACTTGTTGTTTCTTAGTACCCAATTTTACTATATCTGCCCATGATTTGCCAGCTGTCAAAGGGAAAACATTTATCTTCAAAAACCAGGACAAATGGGGAAATTCTCTTACAAATATACTTGCTAATCAAACAAACAAAACACTAACCAGAAAATTTTGCATTAGAAGAGCTACTCCTCCTCTTCGGATAAATTATTTGCAGGGTGTTTTTATCTACAGACTTTCTCCTGGAAGGTACTTTGTCACTCTTTCTCTTAGGAGTGCTAAGTCGCTGAGATTCACTGCCATTAGAGGTAGATGATGATTTCACTTCCAAAAGGATGTTTGAAGGAGACTCTCCTTTTTCTGGAGCTGGAGATTGTTCCTGACACAACTGAAATGTTCAGAAGAAACCTTACCAAGCATGTATTGTCTAACATGACAATGAATGCTGAAAAACTATGTGATGAGGAATTCAGCTTTTTCAGTCTTGAGGCAGCCAACATTTAAGCCACACTTCCACTGTGTCTTATGTCTAAGAGACAGGGGGGAGTCAAGCCCACTCATTTTAGGAAAAGATGAAGAAAAGAAAAGCAGCCAACAAGTTCTAACGGAGGAATTTCAGGCAAGAGGTAGGAAGAACTTTCTGGTGAGTGAGAGGCAAGTGAGCTCTGGCCTCATTGGGGTGAGATCCCGTCTTTGGTCCAGCCACCTTCATCTAGGTAGAAGCAGGGTTGCTAACTCCGTGAGGCACTATAAAGGGGAGGGACAGTGCCATCCCTCACTGCTCTTTCTGAAACAAGAAGGAAATGGGGACTGCACAGGCTTCTAATAAAGGAGATCTCTGGGCACAGGAGAGGACACCACTGCATAGGGTAGGTGATGAAAAGTTTTAAATAGCTGATCACCCTAGATAAATGTCTTCTGCCACCCAAGGGTTTGTTTTTCACTCAACAGTTAAATACCTTATACATAACCGTAGAATTCTAAAGCCAACTAAAGCACAATCCTTATGGTTATATTTTGTGATATATCCAAATTACTTTTTCTTACAGGTTTTCCATGGTAACTGCAGGTTATCTGACCCCATAAGCATGGCTGGGAGGGGACCTAGCACACCCTTTTTATGAAATGGAGAAAGAGCTATACAGCTTGCTTGTGGCCAGGCCAGATTCTAGTTTTCTAGAACCCAATTAAATGAGCCCTCATTTATACTTCTTTTTTTCCCCCCAATTCTTAATTGTACTTCTACTTGTTTCAACGAGTTTGGAAAGACAGTGTACCAAGTGTGTAAGCATTAACTATGAATTAGGTTACTAGCTGTTAAACTTACCTTCATGATCTTAAGAACAGTTGGAGCAGGGGTCCCAAGAGACTTTCGTTTTCCAGGAGTTTCTCCTCGTTTGAGAGGTGTGTTAGGTGGCAGATTTTCATCAAATAACTCAGGTCTGAGACTGCCACCAAAGGAGACCCTTCGTCTCTTGAGTGACATTTCTTCATTCTTATTTTCATCTTAAATAAAAGAAATGAAAAACTATACCACTACATAAAATTTGTTTCGAATTACTATTGAAGACTGATAGCAGGTGAAAGTCATTAATGCCTCTGAGTTGTACGCTTAAAAACCATTACAATGGCAAGCTTTTTGTTATATGTATTTTACCACAAGGTAGTTTTTAAAAAATATATCACATTAATCATTTTTACATTGACTACCAGTCAAAATCATAACAATTTGGGCATATTAGGTTAAATAGAAAGTTATTAGAATTCTGAAAAATCACTCTTAAAGGCTAATCAATTTAACCTGTATTGGAAACTACCATCAGCATCACTTTCACGATCCTACAATGTGATGCTACAGCTGCTCCAAGAGTCCATGAGAGATCTGAGGACAAACTACTCAAAGTTCCAGTCCTGATTTCAGAGGACAATGAGTTGTGTAGAGTGCTGAGGATCTGACCTAGACATCGTCTATAAGCGATGAGTCTACAGAGAACTTTTACAGACACGTGCTGATGCCTCCTCCCCGCCTGCCTCATGAAGAGAGTTCCTGGGCAGTGGGAAGTCCTCCAGGTCACTCTGGAGGCCACTGGTAGCAGCCCCCCCCCACTTCATCTTTGTGGCCCTCTGGTCAGCATGGGTCCCTTGTCTAAGTGATGCTTCCCCTTCGTAGACCAGGGCCCTGTGACTGGTGTGCACTCGGCTGATCTACTGCAGCTGGAGCACAGACACCAGGATGCCTGCAGTAGGCTGGCTGGAGAGCTTTCCTCTCTAAAACCAGCCCTGAAAACTGCACCAGGTCTCAAGGAGCTGCCATGCCTACTCGAAAGGTCATACCTCTCACTTACTGTGTGACCTTGGGGTATCGGTCTCCCCACATTACAGGGAGATGATAACCATACCTCCACCTCTTGGGAATCCTGCTCCCTGAGGATCAAACATGCCCGTCGTGAAGCAGGTAGGATAGTGCCTGGCACATGGGAGTCACTGTGTGTCTCAGATGTTCTATTGAAGGTCCCCGTGAGCACAGGGCAGTGTTTTATATGAAACTGCTTACAGGAGAGCCTGAGAACAGGTGAGAAACACAGAGAGCCACCCCTATATTCAGATTCTCCAGGGATGTGTCATTTGACTTAATCCAGACTCCAACTCAGAGGGGGCAGGTGCTGTGTAGCTTAGAATGAAGTCCTGTTAGAAGAGCACCACTGTGGTTTTTTTCCTTTATGTCATAGATGGATCACAGGTTCAGGTATGATTTTGGACCTCTGTCTACCTAGAGAGGCACAGGTGGTTCATTGGTAGAATTCTCACCTTCCACTCATAAGATTCAGCTCTATTCCTGGCCAGTGACCCTCAAGCACAGCCAGTACCTATCTATCAGTGGAGGCTTGCAAGTTGCTATGATACTGAACATGTCTCAGTAGAGCTTCCAGACTAAGACTAGGAAGAAAGGCCTGGTAATGTACTTCTGAAAACTGGCCAGTTAAAACCCTAGGATCACAACCAATCATGTGGATGGCACAAGACTGGGCAGCATTTTAGTCCCTCGTCTGAGTGAGGGGCCAACTCATCTGTAGCTGACAGCATCTTCCTATATCCTTCCTGCTATCTGCTTTCCTGGGAGCTCTGGTAGCATAGTGGCTAAGGCACTTGACTGCTAACCAGAAGGCTGGCGGTTCAAACCCACCAGCCACTCCTCGGAAGGAAGATGGGGCAATCTACTTCCGTAGTGATACTGCCTCGGAAACCCAAGGAGGGGTCGCTATTCGTCGGGTCCGACTCGATGGCATATAACAACAACAACAACAACAACATCTGCTTTCCTAACTTCCTCTCTCACACATCTTCTCTATTAACCTGTCTGTGCCGACAGTGATCTTATACCCAGTAGAGTATCTACTATAGAGCCGATCACTGTGATGAATGCAGTTCCTCTATTAGCTCATGTCTAGATAGAAGACAGGTGTGCAAAGTTTTGGGGAAAATACATCCACATTTAAATAAACTTACTGCTCTCTGATGTAGAATGAGCAGAGCTCCCTTGGAGGGATGCAGTGACTACAGGAGATCCAAGGCTCATCTTATGCTTCCTCTGAGCAGCAGTCGGAGTCTTCCTTTCATGAGGAAGAACTCGAGTGAGAAATGTCTGTGGGCCCAGGTGTGCCTCTGTAGACTGAGGTGGAACTTGAGCATCCGCAGGGAAGCCCACTTTCTTTTCAGGAGAGAGCTGTGAAGGAGCAGCATGTCCCACTTGTCTCAGTGGTTCCTGTGAATTGGCAAAATAGGAACAGTGATTAAAATGCCTTTGTGACTACGGATAGTTGTAATTAGGAAAATATTCTTTCTACTGACAATCTTCTTTACAGACTATGACTATATAACTTTTAGAGACTTCACTTACTAGTGAATAAGCCCAAGACGGATATGTGCCAATGGTCATTACTAGATAACTTTTAAAAAACATATGGTAATTTACATAATAAACAAGAAGCTTGAGACTTAAACCTCAGTCAGTTTTTGTAACTTCGTTAAATGTTTCCCCGTATACGAAGGAAGAGCTATAGTTAAATTAAACATCACCTACGCAGCCTTTCTGTTCACCACCAGAGGGACAGAGAGACTTACTTATAATCAGTTTGGGCAGTGATCGGCCTAGGACCGACCTTCACTGAGTTGAGGCTCCATGTAGCATGTCTCTAAGAGCTCAGAAGTGAAGGCAAGAGCAACAGCAATGTGTCCACAACACCCCAACCGTAGCACCTGTGAGTGGTTTCTGTATCTTGACTTGGCACACCCATCAACAGTGCCTTACCTTCCTCCATGTGGAAATCTAGGGTGGGTTCAGGGAGCAACTAAAGAATTACACATAATGAGATACAGAAGCAGCATTGTTTCAAGGGAGGAAAACGGTACCATCTGAATTATTACATGGGGCGAGGTGAAGGGGAGGTTAGAGCCACAGAATATACACCAAAGCCAAAGAACTCAACATCTTTCAACTAAAGAATTATACATGAGATACAGAAGCAGCATTGTTTCAGGGGAGGAAAATGGTATCATCTGAATTATTACATGGGGGGAAGGGACTGAGGGGCTCAGATCACAGAATATCACACCAAAGTCAAAGTACTCAGATTCTTTCTTTACAGTTTTAAATTGTTTAGTACTAACCAGCGCTTCTCACAATGGATGTGTGAGGGACGAGTCTTTTATTTCCCATCTCAAAAGAACCAATAATTGTATAAGAAATAAAAGTTAATTGTTAAAAAAATGTACAAAATATATGCCCATTCTTTTGTATTATGTTCAAAATTGCTCTAAAATTACTCCATCAGATTGCTCTCTCAGCACTCAGTTTTAATACTTGATTACAGACTAGTAACATACACTGTTCATAGATCATTTAGTACTTATCTAACCCACGGTTCAGTCAGCATTTTTCCCCTATACCTACTAACAGGTTAGGATGGTGGTTAGTGTCTTAAAAAACAAACCACACCATTGCCATTGAGTCAATTCCAACTCACAGCTACCTACCTATAAGACAGAACAGAACTTCCCTGTAGGGTTTCCAAGGCCATGATCTTTACAGACGCATGATGCCCCATCTTTCTCCTGCGGAGTGGCTGGTAGGTTCGAATTGCCCACCTTTCAGTTAGCAGTTGAGTGCTTAACCCCTGTGTCACCAGGGCTCCTGCTAATGTCTGGGGTCCCCCAAAAACTAGCTGTCCCACGGGAGCTTATGAGCAGCAGGCTCAACATTATAGTGCTCCTCTAGGGAAGACGCAATGCTTAGCAATGGTGGAGACCTTGAAATTGAAGCACCTATTGCTAAAATGAGCTCTGGTGGTGTAGTGCCTAAGACATTTGACTGCTAACCAGAAAGCTGATGGTTCAAGCCCTCCAGCCACTCCTCGGAAGGAAGATTGGGCAATCTGCTTCCCTAGAGATATGGCCTCAGAAACCCAAGGAAGGGTTGCTATGAGTCAAAAAGACTCGATGGCAGTGAGTTTGGTTGTTATTTTTTTTCCCCCAGTGGTGTAAAAAGTTAAGCCTCAGCTACTGATCAAAGGCTAGCAGTTGATTCACCCAGAGGTGCCTTAGAAGAAAGTCTGGGCTACCTGCTTTCTCAAAGATCAAAGCACATTTCTACTCTGAAACACATGGGGTTGCCATGAGTTGGAATTGACTCAATGGCATCCGGTTAATAGCTAATTTCAAGTGTACCTGTGAGAAGTCTAAGCCAGTGCATTCCAACTTCGCTCATATTACACTAACTTGGGAAGCTTCCTCAAAAATAGGAAAATGGAAATTCTAAAGACTTAATCTGAAACATACAAAATCAGGAGTTCCAGGGCTGGGCCCAGTGGTGGTTTAATAAACAGCACTGTTTGGAATACCTGTTCTACACTGAGGCTTCCCTCCCATGACAAAGCACAGTACCTCTCCTCTAGTTGCAGGTCATCTATCAAAAGTGAGAAGCATGTGTGGCCCTAAGAACTTACATGGTACGATTTTTTCAGACACATGAAGATGGATGAGCACAGTAACTGAGAAACAATGGAGCCACATGATAAAATGAAGTGGTTTGCAAACTAGTTGTGTTGTGGTGTGTTCCAGCTATAGGTTTGTAAAAAATAAGATCACAAGGGGCTCTAGGAGTCTTTTGGGACAAAAGTGTCTGCCTGACTTATTACTCTTATTTTGAATAGCACAGAGGAACTATAATTTTAGATTATTTCAATATGTCTAAGTTCAATTTGTTTGTAATACCCTAGTTACATTCTCCTACTATAACCAATGAGTCATATTCCTCGTCACTGATTTAAAGTGACTGATTAAAGAGAAACCATTATTTATATATTAAAAAAAAAAAAAAAACTCACTGCCATCGAGTCTATTCTGATTCAGAGCAACCCCCTTTTGGTTTCCAAGGTGGTAAAGCTTTACAGAAATAGATTGCCTCATCTTCCTTCCATGGAGCAGCAGGTAGATTTGAACTGCCAACCTTCTGGTTAGCAGGCAAATGCCTTAGGCATTGCACCACCAGAGCTCCTTTAAAGGACATACAGAAGAGTTTATATCAGCATGCAAAAGAAGCAGAGCCAAATTTTAGATTATATTTAGATAATATTTTTCATCACCTCTTTGTATTGTTGTTCTGGATGTTCAGTTGAGTTGCTTCCTTCAGGAAGACTTCCAGATTCAAACCTGCAGTGCACAGAATGACAGACAGATTCAGATGGAAGTTTGGTATACCACTGGTAAAGTTTCCATGTCTGGTTACTGTTCAGGACCAAGGAATAAACTTCAGAGTCCGTCCCAGGTATTACCTATCAATGGAAATGGCTTCAGAGTTAGAGTAGTTAAAATAATTTTGCTATGTTACCTCAAGTTTCCTTTGGAACACCACTGTTTGAGGCTGGTGACCCAGATTAATTCCTTTGGATGAATATATAGTCTGGGGAATGTGGTTTTGTTTTTCTCTATGAGGGCTTTGTTGTGTTTGAATATTACTGAAAATGATCCAGTACAGGGAAAAATTGCTAGAGTGCGTTCTCTCTCCTGCAAGAGGGCCTCAGTGGGCGAAGAAAAGGGATCTGTATGTTGGCTTAAGGTAGGAACGAAGACAGTTTATTTTAAGGGGAAAGGCAGAGGATATGACTACAGATACAGGTAGACTTGTAGATTAAGACATTTAAATCCTATATAGTTAGTTTCTATTTCTGCAATGGGAGACTTGGAAATTGGGACCAGCTCTGGGACTGCTTTGTTTCTGGAGGCAGAAACAAGAGACTCTGTACAGACCCAGATGTGGATCCCAATACCATGTCATTGGTCAATCTTTAAAATAACCAAGTTTATTATGCCCAAAGAGATTAAAGGTGAAGAATTTTGGCCAATAAATAAAGTCAATCTTAGTGGAAGATTGCTGCACACCTCTCACAAGAAATAGTAAGCAGGGAAAAGGTATTCCAAGAATTGAATCTAGTGGACATACAGATAGAACACTGTATTCAGCAACTGCAGAGTATACATACTTTTCAAACACGGAGGACACATTATAGAATTAACCATATCTCATCACACATTTCTAAAATAGGAAATTATACAAATGTCCATCCAATAGAAAAATAAATGATATAAAATTGTGTGTATGATTTCAGAGAAATTCTTACGCAAAGAGAAGAAACAAATGACTCTACTGATAAGCATATGAATCTCATAAACCTAAGAGTTAAAGAAGTCAGATGAGTACCTCACGATTCTGTTTCTATGGAAGTTAATAAAGACAGGCAAAGTGGTATTTAGAGAAGCATGCTTAGGTAGTAAAGTGCCAAAGGCTTTTGTGATGTCACATAATGTTTACTTAGCAAGAGGAGCAAGACAGCAGGAAGGCAGCTTTTGGAGATGCTCCCTTGTATGACTGCGTGACGAGTGAGGGCCTCATGGGTTTGCAAGTCATGATAAACTGAGCTGCACACTTTGTCTTGTGCCCTCTACTATGCATGTGCTTACTTTAAAATAAAGCAACTAGGAAATGCATGCAGTCACACACAGCTGGTCTTGGCAGTCACGTGACCAACCAGCTTCCTGAGGAGCAGGCCACCCTGGCTTTGTGTGCGCAAACGCTTGAATTTAGATCACATTTTAGCCCCCTTTCTCATTCCTTGTAAAGAAGTCACTATGGGAACAGCAGTATGAAACACTTGGACAGTTACTAACATTAAAGAGAATTCATAGTTGGACTGTGGGGTTAATTGGAATGTGCTGTTTATGGGAAACCCCATTAGTTTTTACCTACCTGAAAGATCGATCAATAATAGTTATTATATCTCCATGTTTGAGTTTTACTGGTTCATTAACAGGGGCTCCATTTAATTGTGTTGGATTAGAAGTACTGAGATTAATCAACAGTGCCTACAAGCAGAAAGAAGGGACAAATGTGTAACTAATAAGTAGTTAAAAAGTGATATACAAAGTTTTTAGAAACAACAAATACACTGACCTCCTCCTGCTGGACGTCAATTTTGCAGTGTTGCTGGGACACCACAGGAAGCTGGATGCGGATGTCACATTCGAGGCCTCTAAATTATAAGAAGGAAGTTTTTTTTTTGGGGGGGGGCTTGTACCATTTTGAAAAATTACCTCAAATTTTCTAAATAAAAAGATTGACTATTATTGTTTAGTATAAAAATACAGATCACACAACATTTGACCTTTCAACACTTTTCATGGTGTAATTCAGTGAGACCAACTACAGTCATGTGCATCTGTGGCCAACATGTTGCCCAGTTGTCCATCCCCATAAGCAGAAGTTCTAAACAATGAGCCCCCTTCCCCCTCGTTCCCACCCCTGGCAGGCATTAAACTCTGATCTGGAAGCCATTTGCCATCCCAGGTATTTCATATTAGTGAGATCATATGATAGTTTTGACTAGTGTATCTGACCCCTGCATGCGATGACATAAAGCTATAACAAGTGGGACAATGTAAATGATCTTCACATGATGCAATTTTCACAAATATTTTGTAAGCAACTCTTTTCTATATTTGAAACTTAAAAGTTCTTAAAAAGAATGACAATGGGAAATACCCATCATAATCCAAAACTTCATTTACTTTTATTACAACAGCCATGCTTACATAAATGCAGGACTTTAAGTCACTTTGGAGAAAGACTCATTCATTATTTTGAATATCCAGCCTAGGCTTTTTGTTCTGTAAACTACTGTGTTACAAGATGTAACCATCCCCACAAGTGTTTGTTTTACACTAAACTGTGCCTCAGTTTTTTCACTTACAAAAAGGAGATTATGTCAGCATTAGCCTGGTGGTGTTTAAAGATTCAGTAAGTAAATTGTACAGTGAAACCTGCATGAGCCAGCAGTCCAGGGGCTGCCTTGGTTGTGCAGGTCTCTCACAAGTTTTCCACCTTTCACAGGGTGCAGTCTTACTACTTTTCTACCACTGTCTATTAGTGGTAAACATTTGAGTTTACCTTCTCTGACAGGTTTCCATCTTACATAGATTCTAGCTTTCACAGGTTTTACTGTACATAGCAATCATTTGTGTGACCCATAGTAAATGCTCGTTATGTGTAAGATTTTTATTGTTTTAAAATTGCATGGCATTAGCTGACAGATTTTAAAATCTCATAACATTAAAAGTACTAATCTACAAGCAACCAATAAAGCAGTATCTAGATTGAACATGTCTTTCCATAGAAAGCTAACATCAGCACAAGGCACTAGAAGGGAGTATTCCTAAACATACATATTAGCTAATGCAGAGTTTTTTAATCAGTGCCCCTTGCCTCTGTGGTGTTCTTGTTGCAGTGTCTCAGTCTGTAAACTAAATTTGAGCGAACTACCTAACTCCTCTCTGTTCTACATATGGGAGTCTGGATGGTTGAGCAGCTCAGCTGCTTACTTAAAGTTTGGAGGTTTAAGTCCACCTACAGGCATCTCAGAAGAAAGGCCTGGTGGTTTACTTCAGAAAAATCAGTTCTTGAAAACCCTACACAGCACAGTTCTCCTTCGACACACACGGGGTTGTCATGAGTCAGTCAACTCAAAGGCAAGTGGTTCTGGTTCTCAATATAAACCTGTGGAGTCTAAGAATAGCTTCCTTCCCATGTCATATCACTACACATGTGTGAATCATTTCTGAATGATTAAATCTTGCATAAAAATGCAATCATTGCTATATAATAACTGCAATTACTGCCATTTGAGCTGAAGTTTCTATTTTGTTTTGTTTTCTGTTGCAGAGAAAGAAAACTATGGGAAGTGGACAGCTACTTTAAGCCAAAGAACAGACTTTGATTTTTAGGTATTAGCACATCCCAACAAGAGAACATCTCATTGGAACTGAGTTTGGCTGGCAGAAGACTGCCAGCTAGAATCACTGTCTATCAGTGTTTCCAAACCTTGGCACTGTTAACATTTGGGCCAGATAATTCTGTTGTGGCAAGTCTGTGCATTGTAGGGTACTCAGCAACATCCCTAACCTCTATTCCTTGATGCTAGTGACATATTCCTCCCCTACTTTGACATCAAAAATTATCTCCAGACATTGCCAAATATCTCCTGGGGGGTCCAAATGCTCTTGGTTAAGAACCACTGCAATATGCTGATTGCAAATCCAAATCTCCAACCCCTATTTCTGTTGGATACCTAGGAGTGTGCTAGCTATTGATCACCACCTCCTATAGGCCTAACAGCAAGCAGTCAAGGCCCTGAGTACATAACTATTAACAAGGTAGTTCTTGTCTTAGGGAGCTCAGGCTAGAAGAAAAGACAAACCATAAGCACTCCTCACCAGTGCTGTGGTTTATGGAAGACAAGAAGAATGTTCATTAAAGGCTTCATCTGACCTGACATTTAGACAGACACTTGAATAACAGAAAGCAGTCACTCATATAAGAGGGTAGGGAGAACATTCAAGCCATAATGTCCAAACAGCCTAAAAGCACCAAGAACTGGTGTGCCTTTGGTGGGGCTGGAACATGTAGGTGATGGGGCTGGTAGCATAGGTGAGGCTCAAATAAGAGTTGGGCCAGACCATACAGGACTTTGCAGGGAGAGTCATCTTATCATCTGTCTAAATGTGAAGAACATCCTAGAGAATGGAAGGAGTATTCTTAAGTACTATACTGTTAAACAGGGACAAGAGGAGTAAACCAGACTGCCCGATAAACCAGGATGCAAGGGGATAGACTTAAGAGGCCATGGTATATACTAATAGTTTAGTTGTTGTTGATGTTTTCATGGCTGAAGACAGTGCCTTGTACATTTTATTGGGAACTTTGTATAGCTACCACTATTAAACACACACACACACACACACACACACACAATATTGGTAAGTAAAGATGATGAAAGGGAAAAAGTGCTATTCTAAACTCATTGTCCTCGAGTGGATCCCAACCCATAGAGATGCGGCCTTGGGTTTCCAAGGTGGTATCTCTACCCAAGGCGGTATCTCTATGGAAGTAGACTGCTCAACCTTCCTTCTGAGGAGTGGCTGGTGGGTTTGAACCACCAACCTTCTGGTTAGCAGTCAAATGCATTACACCAACAGAGCGCTATTCTATGGTAACCTTTTATCTCTAGGGCTCTAAAGAAATTGTAGAGAATTATATTAAAAAAAAAAAAATCCTACTCAATAAATAGTAATACTAAGTCACGTGTTACATAATCTAGCAATGGAAATTCTGTCCTTAAAAGCTCAGTCTGAAAACTGAGTTACGACTGCCACCAAAACAGGAAGGAAACAAAATGTGAGAAGTTCTCAAAACACAAACGCCATTTTCACTTTTCCAATAAGAGCAGCTCTGGTAGCGCACTTGACTGCTAACCAGAAAGAAGGCTGGCTGTTCAAACCACTAAGCCACTCCTCGGAAGGAAGATGGAACAATCTACTTCCATAGTGATAGTGCCTGGGCAACCCAGGGAGGGGTCGCTGTGAGGTGGTCTGACTCCAGGGCACATGGCAACAACAAGGCAAGGATAGGTGCTTTCCTTCATTCCTCAACACTGTCCCCTAGTGGCCAATGACAGCTGCTGTCGGATAACCGCAGTAGCCTTATCAGGATTACCTGAAGCCAGTTAGAATTTGAGAATCTCACTATGAGTGGGGGTCCACTCGATGGCACATAACAACCACCACCATCTTTCTCCATCTAAAGACCAGTCCCTGGAGAAGGACATCCTCCTTGGTGAAGTACAGGATCAACCCAAAAGAGGAAGATCGTCAGACACACACAGTACCTGCAACAATGGGCTCGACCACAGCAACGACTGTGAAAACAGTGCAGGACCCTGCAGTGTTTCGTTCAGTTGTACATAGGGTCCCTATGGGTAGGAACTGACTCAAAGGCACCAAACAACAATTGTAAACTAGTTATAAAATTCGTGTTTGAGTTTTTAAAACACAGCTACATGAACTTTATGTGCAACAAGTGAAGAATTGTCAAGTTAACAGGAAGCACCAAGGAAATGGGGGAGAATTCTAGAGCCCTGTCTCCAGCGTGGTCTTTGGTCCCACAGCACTTACCTTCCGAATAAGCAGGTGTGGCGACACAAAGGGAAATGGGTCCCGTCGCTCCCTGTCCGCCTTATGATGACCAGGCGTCCCAAAGGCCCCATGGTAGGTTCGCCACGGGCAAACTTACCCACAACGACACGCCACTGAAGCAAACAAAAGGGAAACGCTCACCCTCTGAGCATGGCGCCAAGAAGCCTCTTTCGCGCGAAAAATTCGTTCTAGTGGTTGTGTCCGGTGACCCTCCCTGGCTGCCGCCCGGGCCACACCTGGGCTGACACCGGTCAAAACGCCAGCCAGCACCCCAGGCGGCCTCCGGGCGCCCCGTAACAGACGCCGCTGGACTCGCCTAGGAATTGCGGAGCGTTCCCCACGCCAGCCGCCAGGCAGCGCCGCGCGCAGTCGCCCAGGGCCCAGCCAGCGCCGCAGGAGCCTCCCGGACAGAGCTCGGCCGCTCACTGGGTAGAGTCGCTGACCACTGTCATCTTCCGTCCGAGCTCAGGTCCACGCACTGTCCTCACCAGGGCGTCGGGACGCCACCGCCCCATTGCAGCCGCAGACCTCGTCCGGCGCCCACCACGCGGAAGCCGTGGACACCTTCAGTCCCAGACACCGTCGCTCATGTCAGCCCTGACACCGCGGGCCTCCCTCAGGCTCTGTCATCAACGCCCCCGTCAGCCCCCGACACCGCGAGCTTCCCTCGGCGGGTCAGTACCGGCCGGCCTCAGGCCCGACAACGTCGGCCCCCGTCAGCCGTCAGCCCCCAACACCGCCGGCCCCGGTCAGCCATCGTCAGCTCCGGACATCGCTGGCTTCCCTAAGGCCTGTCAGCACCGGCCGGCTTCGGGCCCGACAACGCCGGCCCCCGTCAGCCGTCAGCCCCCAACACCGCGGGCCCCGGCCAGCCTTCGTCAGCCCCGGACACCGCTGGCTTCCCTCAGGCCCTGTCAGCACCCGCCGGCTTCAGCCCCGACACCGCCGGCCCCTTGTCAGCCGTCAGCCCCGGACACCGCTGGTTTCCCTCAGGCCCTGTCAGCAAAGACCTCGTCAGCCTGGGACGCCGCCGGCCCCCGCCCCCAACGCCGAAACGGCCTGAGCACCAAAAGCCGTCTGAGCCCACCTCTTGTCCCGGCGCTGCCCCCTCCACCGCCGCGCAGCCCAGACACTCACGTCCCCGTCGTAGCCTGGCTCCTGGCCGCCGTCGCCTCGGAAGTGACCCGCCGCCCCCCGCCCAGGTCGATCCCCGAGAGGCCTGGAGTCGCGGCTTCCGCCAAGAGCGGAGCCCGCTCTGTCCCGGAGATTCGAATCAAAACCCCGATTCGAATTCTGGCGCTAAGCGCTATGATTGGACAGTCGTTCAGCAAAAAGGCCAATGGGAGATGGCGGGGCGGGGCCCTGCGGGGGGCGGGGCCTGAGCGCAAGGCAGAGTAGCTGGCGGCAAGCGGCGGAAGGCTGGCGACCAACCTGCACGCCCGGTGCTTCCTGGGTTCACAGGCCGCCTGCGCGCTGCGTGCAACCGCCAAGACGGGATGGGGAAAGGGCCAGAAAGGGTTCTGCCAACGGGATGTGAAGAGGACCTTCAGCACACTTCACGAGGAAAGAAAAACACTTTATTGTCTGTCTTCGTGGAAGACACTACAAAGAGGGGAAAAAAAATGCAACAAGATCACATGGCCCAGACAACCTCTCTAGCCTTATTTTAAGGACCAAACAGGTAGAACACATGATACTACTCATGGCTGTTGTTGTTTGCCGTCCAGTCTGCCCCGACTCATAGCGACCCCTCCTTGGGTTTCCGAGGCAGTATCACTACGGAAGTAGATTACCTAACCTTCCTTCCGAGGAGTGGCTGGTGGGTTTGAACCGCCAGCCTTCTGGTGAGCAGTCAAGTGCCTTAGGCACTATGCTACCAGAGCTCATGGCTAGCTTATTTTAAAGTAGAAACTTTTCTTCACTCCCTCTCTCCCAAAGATAGCCAATTATTTTTCACACTTTTTGTGTATTTTCCCGGGAATGCACATAGAAGTCTCCCTCAAAAGCACAGACAATCAGCCTGTCCACATTAGGCCATCCTTTGTTCTCAGAGTAAACTCTGAGGTTACTTTCATGTAGCAGGTAGTGTTTTTTGGTGGTACAGAGTGTTCCCTTGTAGGCAACCATAATTTATTTAATTACTCCTGTTGCTATACATTGGTGGTGCAGTGGGTAAGGCATTTGGCTGCTAACTAGAACATTGGCGGTTCAAACCCACCAGCTGCACTGTAGGAGACAGAAAAGGCAATCTACTTGCGTAAAGGTAGACAGCCTTGGAAACCCAATGGGGGTCACTATGAGTTGGAATTGACTCGATGGCAGTGGCTTTTTTTTAAATTGATAAATTGCTACACAGGTTTGAGTCGGGGCCGACTCGACGGCACATAACAACAACACAGGTTTACAATGTATTGCTATTAAAAATAGTTCTGCCATTAAAAACACTCTGCAGGACCACATGGATGAATCTTACTATAATTATGGCAAATGAAAGAAACCAGAATAAAAAGAATACCTACTGAGTGATGTGTCTCTAGAACTGAAAAATGCAAATTTCTCTCTAGCAGCCGACAGCAGCCAATGGTGTGAGAGTGAGTGGAGGGACAGAGAGGTATACAAAGAAGGACAAGGAAGCACCTTCCGGTTCAGGACCATGGCTGTGGAGACCATCAGTGAAATATGTGCAGTTTACTGCATGTCAGTCATTCCTCTGTAAAGCTGATTTAAGAAAACCAAACACCCTATGCATGTTTCCCCAGAAGTTGATCTAGGATCAGATACTTTGTACATGTAAAATTGTTATGTAGATGGCACCCCAGATTGCCCTCTAAAAGTTGGAACTAATCTATCCTATCACCAATAAGATACCAGAGTGTTGTTTGCCCACCCCCTGACCAGTGTAGTGACAAGTTTTTAAAATCATTGTTTAATCAATGTCCATCAGTAGGTAAAAAAGCAAGAAAGATGGTCTTTGTGGGTCTATATATCTTTTGTGGTGAGTGAGGGTGAACATCTCCCCGTAGATGTTGTAGGTGTTGGTGTCTCTTTAATTCCTTGTGGCTGTTGTAACAAATGGTCACAAGCCTGGGGCTCAAAGCAGCACGTTCATTAGCTTACGCGGTCTGGCTCCTGTTCTGACTTCTGCAGTGAGGCAAGCTTCCCAACCTGGCGGGGCCGGGTCACTTCTCCTGCTGTGGGATGAGTGAATTCCTCATCCATGGTGGTGGTGTAGGAAGAAGAGGCCTGGTACCTGTGGCTGGAGCCAGATCTGTCTTCAGTGCACGTGCCCTGAGCCTGGCAGGACTGTGCTGACATCAAGGACTCAGAATGGCTGCTTTCTTTCAGGCTCAAGAACAGAATCCATATCTTTGCCTTTTCCAGCCTTTATTTTATACCCAAACCTGACCCACTGCCATCGATCTGACTCATAGCAACCCCCATTGGGTTTCCAAGGTGGTAAATCTTTATGGAAGTAGATTGCTCTGTCTTCCTTCGGTGGAGTGGCTGGTGGGTTTGAACCACCAACCTTCTAGTACAGTAGGCAAATGCCTTAGGCACTGCACCATCAGGGCTCCTTTCTACTTTATATATAGGCTGCACACATTCCCTGGCTCTTAGCCCCCTTCCAACTCTAAAGTTGGCAAAGTCAGGTCAAGTCTTTCCCATGTCACATCACTTTTTCTAGCCTCCCTCTTTCACTAACAAGGCCCCTTGTGATTACACTGGGCCCGTGGAGATAATCCAGGATGTTGGTCAGTTCCGACCCCTGGCCATCCCATAGGGCTTTCTTGGCTGTGACCTCTCTCCTGAGGTACTGGGTGGTTTTGAAGTACCAGCCTTAGGTCAGCCAAGGGGAGCAGTCCAGGATGATTGCCCCTCAATGTGAGCTGGTTAGCCACCTTGCTCTGCAGCCTTAATCCCCCTTTTCATGTCACATAACATAGTCACAGGTTCCTGGGATCAGAATGTGACATTTTGGAAGGGGGTGATTATCTACTCACCACAGTGTTCACTGTATTTCTTTTACTAGCACCAACATAGGGGTGGAAGGAAGATGGGGCAATCTACTTCCGTAGTGATACCGCCTCGGAAACCCAAGGAGGGGTTGCTATGAGTCAGGTCTGACTCAATGGCACATAACAACAATAGCACTCAACATTGTCCATTTTCCTATTGTTAATTTATCCTTTTTATTTGCTTCGTTTTTCTTAACCAAAGGAAATTCACTATTTAACTGTATACTACAATTTTCTCTCCCAACTGTTATTTAAAAGTAAAACAAACTCACTGCCCTCGAGTCAGATCCGACTCATAGAAACCCCTCCTTGGGTTTCTGAGGGGGTATCACTACAGAAGTAGATTGCCCAACCTTCCTCCAAAGAGTGGTGGGTGGGTTTGAACCACCAGCCTTCTGGTTAGCAGTCAAATGCCTTAGGCTACCTTTGGCTAAATTAGTGGTCCTTTTAAAAATGTTGTAGTCAGATGTTATGTCCTGCTCAAAAGGATTTACGCATTCTAAAGTGACAGAAACAAGCTCTGAGATTGGTGAAAAGATAGCTCTGGCTTCTGTGCAGAGGCCGGGGGAGACCCGACCAAATCTTACTATGGGGTATTGCCAAAGGCACAAAGACAGGGCGAAGCCCACACTGCCCTTCCCAGCGGCACCTTCAACTCCATACCTGTCCATCTAATTAGAGTTTATTTCCAACACATTTCCCACTCTTATTTTAATAATCATTTATGAAAAGTTGAAACACGTTTTCATCAACTGTGTTATATCATGTGTATGTATAGATGGCGTGTGTATACATAGAGCACAGCTAAATACGGTAAAGAGGAATTAAAGACTCAACTACGAAAGGAGTGAGATTCTTGGGGCTCAAAGTCACGGGAGGGAGTGGAGATACGAGTTCAAGGAGGGAAAGAAAGGGTGTAAACCTTCTAGCGTTTGGGGTGGGGGTGGATTTTCAATAGACAGTAACCAAGCACCTTTCAGCTACACTTGTTGGGTCCATCCCAGGGTGAAGGCGTTTCTGTTTTCATAGCTCTTTGCTCCCTGCCACACAGTGAC